TTTTTAACAATGAATGATTCTTATGCTTCTTGTTGCTTACGTTTAGTCATAGAGGAAAACGAAACAGTCCCGATGCATTCTGTGGTCTTTGATCAAATTTGCTACTGTGTTCCCATATTTTAATGCAATCTTGTACAAATATCGCTCTCGGAACGCATGGTACAGTACTAAACACTCCTTGGACAAAAATCTATATAGAGATATGTTTGGGATTTTATTTAAAATTATTATTTGTGGTGGCGGTTCTTTGCACTTGTGTTCTAAACATATTTTAACACAAGAACATTAACAACAAAACTTATACTGTAATACATATATAATCTGTATGTATGAGAATATATTTTGAATTGGATTGATCTATTGTTATATATGTATATCTTTATCTGAGTAGCTAAATGTAGACATTGGTCTGTGTTTATTGTAATTTAATCTAAATTATTTCAAAGGAAAATCGTATTTAACGACAAGTTTAGCATAATTATAAAAAAATAAGATTCGTATATTTGATTCTAAACTTTAGGTCAACATCATGGATTTGTAATTTAAATAATCGTCAAAAAAGAAAAAATAATATGCTATTTGTTATTTATATGCATTGATCTCCTATTTATCTGTACATCTACAAGTAGATTACGTATTTATAACAGAAATATTTAATATGTACACTGTAATATAAATTTATCATTAATTATTAAAGTTGTAATATTAAAAAGTAAAGAGAAATGAGAAATAATTCAACCTGTAGGTGTACATTAGATTAAAATTATCGGTGAACATTCTCTTGATAATTCTGTACGATCATTCAATATTTATACCGATGACTGTAGGAAATTAGTGAAGATGTTCGAGACGTTGAGCATAAATGGTTGGAACATGACGGAAATGCGCCATTTATTGAAACAAGACGTACTCCGGATATTGAGAACATGGATATTGAACAGTATCATCAATCCATATCACAGTCAGTATCCATTTATATTTTATCATATATAAAAATTTGATTTTTCAAAGTTTATTGAATGGACTTTAATTTTTCTACAGAATGAATAACAGTCTTAGTGAAATTCAAGCTGACATACAACGTTTAGCAAATCAACAAAATCAAATACAACAACAGCATTTAATGACCCAACATCAACAACAAATGCAACAACAACTTCAGCAATTACAAAGTCTTAGTCAGCAACATATGCAAGTATGTATTATTTTTTGAATTTCTTATATTGATTTATTTTATTGTAATGTAACATTTATTTTTTTCTTTTCCTTTATTGTTTAGAATTTCGGAATGGCACCTATAAATCCATTAACATCGAAATTACAAGATACTCAACAATCCCAATTCTATTTACACGATCAACCTCAATTACAAAGACGAATGTGGGGTCAACCACCTCCAACACAAAGTTTAGCAAATGAAATGGCTGCTGTGGGTTATCAACAACCAATAGATCCACGATATGGTACTCAACCAACAGGTATGTGTATTTTAATAAATTAATTTTTGTTTCTTTTTAATCATTGTTGATTTGATGATTAATAATCATTAGTAAATTCATATACAATCATTATATATAATATATTTTGATATAAGTGTTTTAAAATTTTCTTTAGCTTACCAACAAGATTTGCGTTTATATCAAGATACACGGAATTGGGGAACACTTCCACCTCAACAGAAAGGATTTGTTTTGCATGATAATCAAGAACCAAGGTATCTCAATGGTGGAGATCATAGTCTTTGTAATAATCAAATGAGCCATTCTGGTTCTACATATCCATCATCTGCATCTATCTTCAATCAAACACCACCATCTTCTGCTAGTCCACAACATCGTAATGCTGTGAGTATAATAATCTTTATCTATTTTATTTGGTCATAGGAAGCAAAAAAGAAAAATTTATTTTCTTTAATTACTATTTAAATCCTAATTTTATTTATAAAAATAATGTAAAAATATGATTCATTTATTTATATTTGTTTATACATTCATTGAACATAAAAAAGAATAAGAATAAAAAGAAACGTATATATATTTTGATAATATAAATTTAAATAAAAAAAGAAATCACGTTTAAATGTTAGGATTGTATATCGTTTTATTTTTTTTTTTTTTTTTTGGTTCAATTAAGTAGTAAATGAATTGCTTGATGTATATATGCAAGCAACTGTCATGGAACCAGTTAGTGATGTAATGCACATTTATAGATACTCTTTTCATACTCAGTATAGCAGACGCTACTTGAAGTTTCGACGTCTTTCTTTTGTCTCTTAATTATTTGCATTTTTTGTTAAATTACACAGATATATTTTAAAAATGCAGTTTTTTTATTCGTCGAATTTTATTAATTCGTGTAATTATCATTATGAGGTTTGTGTATTTTGTATATTTATTTATTTATTGTATAATCGTTATAATACATATATATCGTTATAATATATATATATTATTAATGCCATTATATTATTTTAATGTTATATATTTATTTTATTTTTTAATTTTTAAAGGTTCATCGAATAAGTCAGTTAATGAGTGAAAGTCCCGAACCAAAAAGGCCAACTGTACATCATATACCAATTAAATGTGAAAGCCCTACCGAAAAACGACAAATTACTGCGTTACATGCACCGGTTCCAGCTCCGCCTGTCGATGACATGAAGCCTCAGAATATATCATTTATTGGTAAGAATTCTTTTTCTTCCTATAAGAATTCTTTTCTTCATTTAAAAACATATCATATGTAAATATTTTCAAGGAATTCATTACATTTATAGTTTTGTTCTCATCCTCTTTTTCTTCATTCATACATATATTTTAAAGGAAATGATGATGAGCTTACACAAGGTATAAGAGGTTTAAACATCACGTCTGGCAGCCGTACATATAGAATTCCATCACCAACTAGACCTTCAATATCACGTAATTCATTTCAACCTCATCCATCATTAAGAGAAGCCACACCATCTCCATCAGGTACACCAGAAGTAACACCTCTAGATCCAACAGATGCTGGTGAGAAAGGATTTTATATTTGTTTCGACAATGATGCACCAAAAAACCAAAACCGACTCTTAGAGTGAAAAGAACATCTCCGAAAAAGGTAAATATATAATGTTTTTTTTAGATTTTTAGAATTATACGAATTAGGAAAAAAAAACATCGATTTTTTTTTTTTTAGGAAAGAAGTGTATCATCGTACGTTGAAAATGAAGATTTTACGATGCGTCCTGATTCGCCTTCTGCTATTGCTATTGATAGACAAAAGCAACTGGAAGCTCAACGAGATTTAGATCGAGAAAAACATCAGATAGATGAAAGAGATTTCCAACGACAAGAAATTAGAGATAAAGAAATTCAGAGAGAAGGAGAAAGAGAAAAACAAAGAGAACGACATGAGATCACTGGAGAAAGTCGACAATCTGGAGTCGGTTTAATAATTGGAAATCAATTAGCAAATCCTGATCCTGTAAGATTATGTGACAAATGTTATTAATTTCATAATTTCTCTCCGTATTTTCTAACTGATATATTTTTATAGAATTCTCTGGATGAAATGGAACGGAAAAAAGAACGTATAATGCTATTGTCATTGCAAAGAAGACAGCAGCAAGAAGAACTGAAAGAGAGAAAGGAAGCAGAAGCTCAAGCTCGACGAGAACAAGAGAAATTAAAAGCAGAAGAAAGAGCTCGTAAAAAAGAAGAAGAAAGGCAACGAAGAGCAGCTATTTTAGAACAACATAAAGTAAAGAAAGCAATAGAAGAGGCAGAAAGAGAAGTGAGTTTTTTTTTTATAATTTGTTAATTATAATATTTTAATTGAATTAATCACTAGTAAACATTACTATCATTTAGGGTAAGGTTATCGATAAAGAGCTTCTCAATGCAATAAAGCCAACAAAATTGCGTAACAAGACTGCGACTCGACCACGACCCAAAACAATTCATGTGGATGCTGGTACAGAGTTGGATTCTGGAGCCCTTACGCCAAGTCGTGGGAAAAAGGGTTCTTCTTCTAATTTAAGCACAGGTATGATGACAGATTTAACATGATTCGATAGTGACACAATTATTCATTGCAATGATTAGTGTTTCTTGGAGAAGATTAATTATTATCACATAAAAAAGTTGAAAAGATAGAATATATAGTAAAAACAATTCCTATATTTTAATATACCACATATAAAGTATCTCCAAGATAACAGTTACCACTGCTATCGTATCAAATGTATTCCTTTATTATAATCTTCTAATAGTAATAATTTCTCAGTGTTGTAATGTAATTGCATTCAGTTTTTGCATGGCAAAAATTCAAATCGGAAAAACTTAATTTTTTTTTTTTAGTAACGCCATTTTTTTTATTAAATTAATTTTTTCATTGTGGTTTTCTTTTGTTTTACGAGATCTCACCCAGTCACGATTCTACAAGCTCAAAATTTTCTCGCCTATACTAGTTTATTTCGTCGCTTCAAGACGGAAATGTACATATATTATAAATTAATAAAATCTCATACATTTCCTAGACTCCCATTTGAATAAACTAGATTGGTTAAGAAAATTCGAGCTGATTGTTTTGCACTAACACACTTACTGTAGCGTCGCTGACTTCCCCGACGATGAGGCGAGACTACTACCGAGGCTCGCAGGACAGTCTCACTGCTGCTCATTTCGATGAACGACGTTCCGGCCCTCTTTATCGGGGCGGCAGTCTCAGGGGTATGCACAACACACACTCTCTGACTCGCATAAATATTTAAAACATCACATATATATATATGTATGTATGTATGTATATATAATGTATATATATACATATATATTTGTTAGCTTTGCATAAGAAGAAGCATTATAAAAAGTTAAACAAATATTAAATTATTAAATGTTTTCCTTTTGGTCATTAACATGCTGATTGGAGTGGTTATAACTATATGCTAATTTCTAATATTTAAAATGATTTAAAATTTAAAAGAAAATATTTATGATATTATATTTAATATAAAAAATATGCGCGCACAATGTATCAAATATGTTAAAATATAAGTATGATTTTTTAAAAACATTGAATGATATATTTTATTCGATATTTTCTTCAAAATTATTAATTTTTAACGTGTGAATGATCTATATTATAGCACTTTTCTTTGTTTACGACTTTGCATGCTTCAAATTTATTTACTATCCGTTTATTAGTGTAATGTGGTAGCATATTTTTTAAAAATATATGTAGTGTTTAGTATCTCGTCCTGGAGAGGAACTAACTGATTGTAATAGAGGTACCCTATTTTAGTATCTTCCGTAGATTCACCCGACGATGGTAGAGGTTCCTCGCCTTGTCGAAGTATGAATCAACTTGGCCGACGTGGTTCCTACAAAACATCTAGAGGTGGGTTGATCATTATTCATAGAAAGAATGCCTTAAATCATATTCCTTAAACGTTTGGCTTGATGAAAGTAGACTCGTTGCAGGATGTATCACTGGTATGGGCAGCTACCTATGAATCTTACAATGTTGAATATTTCATTAGCATTTAATTATTCTTCAAATTACCTAAATAAGGTTACTTAAGGGTATGATTCTTTATTTTTAAGTAGCGCCTTATAGTAGAAATCTTTCAGTTGGAACGCAACTGTTCTGCACCAACCTGCACCAGCTATCTTGAATTTTTGATGTTCCTAATGGACATGGCTCGTAGTTAGACTCTGCCCCTGATGCAATGACGTACGATTGAAGCATCCCCTACTATTAATCTTTGATCGTACATAGCGTTTGGAATGTAACAAGGTAAACATTGCATTATTGCAGATGTGCAGGAGCCTCAGCAACAGGTTAGAGGCAGGCCTAAATACCCGAGTTACGAAAACTTTAAGGGGAGAAAGTCTAATTCCTTGATGAATTTGTGTGGTAAGAAGCACCAGTGACTTGGAATACGTTTAATCCCCCTTCTATCGTGCAACAGTATATTTTACGTGTCCCGTACACTGTTCCAATTTTTTGTAGGCTATATAGCACGTAGTCGCATGGTGGCAGATTGGAGCACAGGTGGCAGTGATATATTTACACGCATACACCAACAGCACATTGTTTATATGTATTCGAAATTCTATCTGCTACGTTTATATTTTGTTTCTTTAATCATAAGCAATACGCAAAATGCTTTTTTTTTTTTCTTTTATTTTGATTTTAAATTGTTCTTTAAATTGTATTTTTTCCAGTAGGAAATGGAATTTCGATTTTCATTCACAGGATAACTCATTTGCCGCAGTAGATGAAATTAAGTTGAAGCTTGGTTGGGCTTATTGTTGTACAGCACTGGTTATGGGTACCGATATTTTCAATGTTTTTCAGATTATTGTTGGTGGTTCCAGTTTCCGTTTAATAACCTTTCACTCTGACTCACATTTAGGTCCTGTATCATATGATTATCCCATCATTTATGTTCAATATGTATTTGTTCTCCTCTCTATTTTTATTTCCAGGTATTATGGTAATACAGCATAGTAAATTCATCTCGGCGATGAGCATTATACTTTTCAATAGAACTCATAAGCGCTGCACGAGTTAATACATTTATTAACGCATTTATTAACGAATTATACTATCGTTAGATGAATTTGTTATGCTTTGTCCGCCTAAGATCGCAAAATTATCATTAGTAATCATATATTTTAATACAAATGAATCTGTCCACTGTTTTACGTGTTACAATATATTAGATAAAATAGTAATAAAACCCGAGTCAAAAAAATCAAAATTATTAACAATTTTCAAAATTCCTGATAAATAGTTCCTTAGATCGTTTTAGAATTACGAAAAGCTTCCATCGTTTTATTTGAACAAATTAGACGATATAGAAACAAAAATACATTTTAATCCTTAATTGTTGTTGTCATATGATGTATGAATACTTTTTTTAATAAGTTTTTAATTGGACGCAAGCTATGAAGATGGATATTCTTGAAGGTCCTTCGTAAGTCTAACAAGTGACTAATATCTCACAGTCTATATCAGGGACTAACCGATTAGTAATTAATAAAATTGACTCAGTTCAAAATCCTTTTGCTTGGATGGGTATAAACGTTTTATACGTTGGACTTATCGTTGAAAAAATCGTATCTCTTTGTCCTTTATTTATCGTGGACGGACACGTACGTTCGAGTTTCTCTTTTTTTTTTTATCTTCTATCTTCATATATCGAGCTTGCGTTCGCAGGTTCGAGTAGTGATCAAGACGGTATGATGTGTCGATACACAGATACGGACAGCGGACTAGGCAGAGCCACACCTCCAAGGAGAGCACCGAGTCCAGGAATGGGTAGCATGAGGCATCTTCCGTCGCCATCTGGGCCTGGTTCCTTACCTCCCGGTTTGATGACCAAGAGACGAGTATTCGATGATGGTAGCAGCGACATCAGTAGCACGCCAAGTTCAATGATGGACTACAATGGTGAGGAAATTTAATTTTAAACAAAATTTTAATCGTTTAACAGGAATGGATAATTATATTTTGAAATTAAATTAGTTAGTATTTAATTAAATAATTATATTTTAATAAAATATATATTCTATAAATTTTATGAAATTTTATAAACTTTATTATTTTTTCTCTTAACAGGTCCAAGATTGTATAAGCAACCGACGACTAAGTCAAATCGTGGTATTATGTTAAACGCTGTGGAATATTGTGTGTTTCCGGGTACGGTGAATAAAGAAGCGAAAAGAAGAGTTCTGGATGAAATTGCAAAATCAGAAAGCAAACATTTTCTTATTTTATTTCGAGATGCTGGTTGCCAATTCCGGGCTCTCTATTCATACTGCCCAGATAGAGAAGAAGTTTCGAAGTTGTACGGTACCGGACCTAAACAAGTCATTGATAAAATGTTCGATAAATTTTTCAAGTAAGTTCACCACCAAGTTAGATTAAATTTTATTACAAATATATTTCTATGATTTTATCATATACTGCAATATCATTTTATTACACAAGAATATGTGAAAAACATACATAACAACATATCTTTTCTCTAAAACGTAAGTTATATTATTAATTATTAAATATAAATAGATAATCTCAAGTGATAGAATAGAATTTAGAAACTTAGTTTTTATATTTTTTTAAATAATTTCAATGTGCAGCTTATGATACTTTTTTGTTATATTTATTAGGTGCTTATATATTGCAAATAGAAAATCAAATTTAGAATATGATTAATCGGTGTAATAATTAATAATTAGTAATATTAATATTTTATATGGAGTGTCACTATAAAAATGGTTAAATCTATTTTTGTATGTTTTTTAATATAATTAAAAGTCATATGATGGATATTCATTACAAATATGATAGTTATTATTAATCATTACAAATATGATAGTTATAATGATATTATTAAATTTTGATAAAAAAATATATGTGTGTGTGTACTTGCAATTACATTGTACATACATTTTGATTAAATATAATTCGTTTTATATATATAACTTTTTGTTTTTTTCTAGATATAATTCAGGAGCAAAATGTTTCTCGCAAGTACATACAAAGCATCTGACTGTGACCATAGATGCCTTTACGATACACAACAGCCTTTGGCAAGGTAAAAAGGTGAATTTACCGAACAAGAAAGACATGCCTCTCGTCATATAGTTTTACACAAGTGTCACATTTTATGCCCTCTGTTGTTCATAGTTACTATTTTAATACAGGCCCATATTAAATTAATGCAAACGTTGCGTTCTTAGTCAATTTTATAAGGACAAATGATTGATGCTGACTCGATAGATACGGGATGCAATCATTTTCAGCGATTTTTTACGATTGCATACCAAATTGAAACGGCGTAATGTTACCAAGTATACGTTTCTTTCTTCTTTTTTTTTTTTTTTATTT